CGCGCTCGCGCCCACCGCCAGCCCCTGCCGCTGCTGCGCCCGCGCCGCAATAATATTTTCTCAAATGAAGTAGCAGAAAACAGCTTTACATTTTTGTTATCCCTCCGAGCGCCAAATAAAACCCGCCTGCGCTGCCACTACCTGATTCAATCAAGCGCACTACATTGGATACCCGGGGGCTACAAGTGCCGGGGAAAGCTGACTTGTATTTTAATTAATAACACGCTGCGCGGTCTCAACAGCCGGGCCCGGGGCCATCTGCTCTGCTTTGTTCATTATTTGCTGTAAACAATTCTCAAGCAATGTGTCGACAACCCTATTTTTTAATTTCTGCTAATTCATAACATTAAGAGAATGCACACTTTTCTCGTGCAATAAAACATGCAATTAAACGTCCTCTTTTAGCTCAGGAAGGGCTTCAGCGCAGCTCCCTGCAGGGCCCTGCAAGCCGCAGCGCTCAGTGAGCTTTCTGGTCGGGCTGTGTGGTGTCCGGGGGGCTGAGGGTCCCGTTCTGGGACACGGGAGCAGCTTTCATGTGGAAAGGATGGGGTGGGATGCAGAGGTGGGAAAAGGTCAGCCCTTGAGAAAAACCCTTGCTCTGGGGCCACCATGACTGCCCCCTGAACCCCAGCACTGCCCCTCAGCACCCTGGCACTGCCCCCTGAACCCCGGCACTGCCCCCTGAACCCCAGTACTGCCCCCTGCACCCCGGCACTGCCCCCTGCACCCCAGCACTGCCCCCTGCACCCCAGTACTGCCCCTCAGCACCCCGGCACTGCCCCCTGCACCCTGGCACTGCCCCCTGCGACGCTGCACAGGGGCAGCACATCCTTGGGGCTGCGTGGCCAGGCCAAAGTGGAACACGCTGCTCCCTGCCACGCCGTGCGGCACCTCCGGGACATGCGCTCGCCGCCTAGGACGGGCGGCAGAGGCAGCGAGCTCAGGCTACTCTGAGGAATATGTAGAAATATCACCAAAAAGCACAACGGAAAGTGGACCCGGAATAAGAAGATGCATTATGCAATAGCACCCCATGTGTGCCATAACCCCGCCAGGCCTCGGCAGAGGCACGTCAGGCACAGCTCCCTTCCCAAACCCGCTGGCAGGCAGCTCTGCCCCGCG